AACATTTTATTGGGGGCTCATACAGCCCTTATCACAATCCAAATATACATACAACCATTGTGTCCAGCACATTTGTACATATGTTGCCATCATCATTTTCGAAACATTTTCTTTCTACTTGAGCCCTTGGTATCATTTCATTTCCCCCCTTACCCACCTCCCTCCTGCATGAACCCTTGATAATTTAAAAAAAGTTTTGTCAAGACTATTTTCTGAATGGATCTATGTTCTGTGATATTCCTGGAAAGCTTAGAATTGAAAGAGTTGGTGGAAGAAATTAAACTCCCTGTGGTTTTTCTTTTTGTTTATTTATTTGTTTAGATGATTAATTTGGAGTTAACACATATAATTCCATAGTTCAATCACGTCAAGCAGTATTGTACAATTGCTACCAGTTTCCAAACATTCTTTTTCTTTCTAGACTCCTTGATATCGTTGCCTTTTCTCTCACACACCACCACCACCACTGTCTCCCTCATTCCCTGAAACCCCTGTTCTACTTGCTGTCCCTATAGGCTCATCAATCCTGGGTTTCATATACCAAAAACCATATATATAACTTCAAGAGGGTGACCTCCAATGACATAACACCCTGAGAGACACCCTAATACGAAGGAACAACAAACAAACTACAGAAAATGTTGAAAACCAGATCAGCTCCAGCCTGCAACAGAGAGGGGATCAACTGACAAAGTTTTAACGGTTCAAATCAGATTTATGCCTTTGATCTTCTATCCTCATCTCTCCCATGCCCTCTGTTTAATAACCCCTTTCCTCCCATCCATCAAGTCTAGATAGAGGGAGTTCACTGGAGGCTTGTTTACTATGTAGTTCCCACAAATAAATCTTGGTCTCCCACTGTCATCCATAGCTTTCTTTCTGCAAACTAGATTCTCACAATTTAGGTTCTGATACTAATCTCTCCTGCAATTTTGGATTATATGATTTACGATCCTTCAGTGACTGATGATGGTGTGCTTCGTCCATGTGGACTTAGTTGACGTCTCACTTAGATGACTGCTTGTTTGGAGACAAGCCTTTAACACCCAGATGCTATTTTATCTGATAGCCGGGCATCACCTATTTCTTTGCCACATTTTGCTGTAACACCCGTATCTTCTATGTTCCCTTTCTGAGGATGAGTATCGAGCAGGGCCATGATGTAAGAACTAATTGGTGTGGGTTTATTTAAACTAATTGTTCTTATATTGCAGCTAGGATTTAGTGTGAGCCCAAAACTCATTCCTGGATTGATATTTTTTCTTTTTCTTTGATCAAATTTCCTTTTTTTTCCCCCCTAATCATTTTATTAGGGGCTCTTATCACAATAAATACACACATCAATTGTGTAAAGCACATTTGTACATTCATTGCCCTCATCATTCTCAAAACATTTCCTCTCCACTTAAGCCCCCGGCATCAGTTTATTTTTTCTCCTCCCTCTCCCACCCGTACTCCCTCATAAACCTTTGATAATTTATAAATTGTTACTTTGTCATATCTTGCCCTGTCCCACGTCTCCCTTCACCTACTTTTCTGTTGTCCGTCCCCCAGGGAGGAGGTCACATATAGCTCCTTGTAATCGGTTCCCTCTTTCTAACCCACTCTCCCTCTACCCTCCCAGTATCGCCACTCACACCACTGGTCCTATAGGGATCATCCGCCCTGGATTCCCTGTATTTCCAGTTCCTATCTGTACCAGTGTACATCCTCTGGTCTAGCCAGACTTGCAAGGTAGAGTTCGTATCATGATAGTGGGAGCGGGGAGGAAACATTTAAGAACTAGAGGAAAGTTGTATTTTTCATCGTTGCTACATTGCCCCAACTGGCTCGTCTCCTCCCCAAGACCCCTCTGCAAGGGGATCTCCAATGGCCTACTCATGGGCTTTGGGTCCCCACTCCGCACTCCCCCCATCATTCACTATGGTAAGATTTTTTGTTTTGATGATGCCTTATACCTTATCCTTATGCCTTATCCCTTCGACACCTCATGGTTGCATAGGCTGGTGTGCTTCTTCCATGTGGGCTTTGTTGCTTCTGAGCTAGATGGCCGCTTGATTACCTTTAAGCCTTTAAGACCCCAGACACTATACTTTTTGATAGCTGGGCACCATCAGCTTTCTTCGCCACATTTGCTTATGCACCCATTTGTCTTCAGTGATCCCTTCGACACCTCATGATCACACAGGCTGATATGTTCTTCCACCATTTTTAAGATTAGTAATAACCCATACATACGGGAATTTGAATTTGACAATGATAAGTATTCAAAGATTTTGGCATGTTGAGTATCTGACAGATGAGCATTGCGATTCCAACTTACAATGTGAAAGTTACACTATATAGTTATATGCATCGCTAAAAAGCAATGCTAAGACCACGAAGTGCCTCAACGCATGGAAGGCCCTGGGGAACATCATGCTGTGCGCAGTTAATTGATCACAAAGGGCAAATACTGCGGATAACTACTATGACGATGAAACCCAAGACCAAGACTTACACACCCAAGGGAACAGACTTTGGAGGTTTCCAAGGGAGGGAGGCGAGGGAAGGAAGCAGCAGCAATGGACTTTTTAAAAGCAGTTGACAGGTATTGACTTGGGTGACAAGGAGGATGGCGAGCCATAAGAGACAGAAGAGAAACCACAGGGGCCAGGGGAAGTGGGGGAAAAGGGAGAGTCGATGAAGGTTTGAACTGTTGAATGCAGAGTTGATGATCTGACATGTAACGCTCCTCTCCCTCAATTCCCAGTTTACAAAATAAGAAAACAAAAATATGCATATAAAAGAAAGAAAATAAATGAAATATACAATAAGGCAACTGGGAAATGGTGTGATTCATATTAGTGCTGTGATTTTAGGCTATGAGGCTAACTGGCTAAAAAGAACCGCTACAAATAGAATTACGTGAGATATTGTGAAAAATTATTCCAGGGGTGCCCCTATATTCTAATTCCTTAACAGAGGGAGACCCTGTATTTTTTTCTTTCCTCCCCAGACTGAGAACCACTGACGTCAAGAACTTGACTAAGCTGTCAAAAGTACTGGATTGTTTGCAAAGAACTTGAGATTCATGATGCCTATAAGTTGAATTAATTAGATTTTCCAAAATGGTTTAAGTATTCTGAGGAAATTGTGCTTGTTAGGTTATGCCTCTGATGTGCTTAAAAAGAAAATCAAATATATTAAATTGACAAATGCAATGAGAACGTTTAGGGGAATTTAATCAAGTTAAAGGAAATGGAGTTTGTTCAACTTGACTCAAACATTAATCAAATGAAAATTTAGGGTCATTTGTCTCTATTTTCCTAGGCTTATTTATACGATAATAATTTCTAAGTTGAACTCGAAAGCTTATGGATAATTGGGTCTTGTAAATTGTTATTCCAAAAGGAGAATGCATTCCAAATATAAAAATAAAACAAGCCACATCAGAACTCTCAGGCATCTCTTGTATGATTCCCACCCCCAAATGATTCCTCTCTCTGAGGTTCCCACCAGCCTGACTTGTAGCTTATGACCAAGACACAGGTATTCTTTCCCTGGAGCCTCACAACTCCATCCCCCAAACGACTACCAGGAGGCTCTGTGAAGAGTGAAAAACCACAGTGAGACTACCTCCTCTTATACTTCACGTTTTCCCTCTCAGTCCCCCGGTTGAACATAAGTGTTACTATTTGCAGATGGTGGGGGGTGGGGGGGTGGGGGAAATAAAGATGGCCCAGAGATCAAGGTCACAAAAGAGGTAGAAGCAGATCCGGACCTGCAGTCCTGGCTCACAGGTCTCCTCTGAAGACCAAGACTCCACAGCCCATGTGCTCCTTGACCTCTCCACTTGGATGTCTGACCCGTTGCTTACACTTCTTCACCTCAAAACCTCACTGCCATCGAGTCTACTTCAACTCAGAGCAACAGGGTAGAACTAAGTGCCTGTGGGTTGACCAGACTGTAAGTCTCTACAGGAATAGAAAGCCGTATCTTTCTCCAGTGGAGTTGCTGGTGTTTTATACCTGCTGTCCTTGAAGCTAAGCAGCTCAATTCGTAAGCATGCCACTAGGACTCAATTTAGCAAGGCCAAACAAAATTTCGACATAGACGTATCACTAAATTTGATACAACCTACACTATTCATCCCTGATCTACTTAGTGGCATCTCCATCCATCCAGTTGAAGTCAAACTTAGATATCATCATTGAATCCTCCTCTCAAAATGCATGCCCAACGTGGTCACTAATCTGAGGTACCACAATGACATGTCACATTCCTACTTAAGCCCTTCGGTGGCTAGCCAAAGCAATTGGGGGTGGGGAAATAAGATCCCCTTACCATGGGCTACAACATCAGAGATGCTTTCTGTGGAGTCCACTGGGCTGCTTCCCAGCAAACACGGGAGGCTGCAGCTGCCCCAGGGCCTTTGCACCAGCTCCGCCTACCCTTTGACCGCTCAAACAAGCCTTCCCCTCACCTTGGCCAAAACAGCCCGACTCTTCATGCCCAATCTCAAGAGCCTGTTCTGTATTTCAAAATAGTTCTTGCTGCACCTGCCAGCCCCGCCCCCTTCAACCACCTGCACGAGAACAGGGGCTCGTTCGCTGCGGTCCCTAGAGCATGCCTCCGACGGCTCGCTTGGAACACATTCGTCGAATGAACCTAGTACTCTGACCTAAGACCTAGCTCTTTCTTCCCAAGAAGGAATGAGAGGGTCCCAGGTCTGTCTCCCGCAGTCGGGGCCAGCGAAATCCAAGGGTGAGGGGGGGAGTGGGGGGGACACACACAGCCTCTTCCCTTGAGGAGCTCAGCCCTCAGGCCCCGGCTTTCACCAGATTCCACTTCTGGGCCTCGGGGACAGAGCAACAGAACAGGCCACGGCTCCCTCGCCCTCACCCCGAGGATTGGCCCGTCCCGCCCAGAGCATTCCAACGGAGAGGGAAGCGCCCAAGTTCTCCAGTGGGGAGCTCAGAGGATAAAAGCCACCGGACGCGACCCGCCGAAGAAAGTACCTGGTTTCCCGGGGCCGGGCGGATCCGGGCTCCTCCTCCGGCGTCCTGGCGTCGCGCACTGCCTGCTGGGACTCGTAGTCCTTCCCTGGTTATCAGTCCGCCCTTCCCAGAAACCTTTGGGAGGCAACGCGGTTGTGAAGGGCAAGCATTTCTGGGAGTTGTAGTTCGAACCAATCAATCAACCCAAAGATATTCGGGGGAAGAAAAAGGGTAATAGATTTCAGCAAACTGCATTTGGACTGGTTTGATCTAGGCATCATGCACCTTTCTCGTCTGCAGACCAGGAGTTGTCTCTGCGGAGGACAACGAGTGCCCCTGTAACTCGAGGGAACTACCAATCCCATAAAGGAGTGCGCGTGGCAGGCCTTTGGAGGAGAACGGTGGACCCTGCGCAGGCGTGGTGGCGTTGGTTCGGCTGTAAGGGAAGATGGCAGCGCCGACGTTCACCGCGACCTTGTACTCCCTCCTGTTCCGCAGGACCTCCACGTTCGCCCTTACCATCGCCGTGGGCGCCGTCTTCTTCGAGCGCGCCTTCGACCAAGGCGCGGACGCCATCTACGAGCACATCAACGAGGGGGTGAGGGCCTGGGCCTACCTGACCTTGGGTCCGCCTGAGGGTGACGGCGGTGGGGCGAGACTCAGTCTACCTTTAAGGGAAAGGGAGTGATCCGTGGGTGTCCCCTCTGCAAGCTGCCGCCCTCGGGACCTTTAGGTGTGAATCATAAGACGTTAAGCGAGGCTCATAGATCCCACCTTGCATGGTAGTAAGTACGGCATGTCTCCCATCCCACATACCCACTTGTTCGTTGGAAGAAACGTGCAGGGTGGGGAGAGTAAAGGACTTCTCAGGATTCCCAGCTAGCAAATCGGAATTCGAAATGTGGGTTTGTGTCGCCTCTGAACCTTTCAAGGCAGATTTGACCACGCCATGGACACAGGAGAAGCATCTTAGGTACAGGGGCTGGCTTTCAGATCGCACTTTCTAAGACCCAAGGCAGCTTCGTATTCTCAATGGGTTCCGAGTGGTGCCTGTGAAATCAGAGCCCCAGGTGGGGATACCTGGCCTGACACTTGACACCTGTGTTACTTGGAACAAAAAATGTGATCTCTCTCCACTTGAGTTTACTTACTGGTGAAACAGAAACAAGCAATACTAACCTCAAGGAATTACACTCCCTCTTTACTTGGTAACCATCCTGTTAACCAACCTGTGCATTCAGACAATGGTTTTGTGAAAATCCAACCATTTTGCTCATTAACAGTGTAAGGGACGCCGAGCTGAGGCTCAAGGGAAGCGTAATGCTGGCTTTGCTGGTTAAGGTTATGTGTCAACTTGACAGGGCCCTGGTTCTCAGTGGCTTAGCAGTTAAACTATATCGTCATCCCCATCTCATGGGCTGATGTGGGCATGCGCCATGGCCTGGTTTTTGGACCCTAACTGTGTTGAAAAGCGAGGAGGAGGAGGGGGCCATGTTGGGAGGATTGTATTGTGGAATCCTTTCAAGGTGCCACTGTGCCTGGGAGTTGGTACCACTCAAAAAGAGCAACAAGTACCATCCTCAGGAAGACGTGGCAACGGGAGGTAGGGAATGACCACTTCTACAACTACTTGTGAGCTCAGTGCTGCACATGCGATGTCAGCAAACCTTACAACAGCCCCTCACTGACGAGTGTGCTTGTGCGTCCTCTTGGGATACATAAGGTTCACACTTTAAGGAAGGGCTTGCCCAAGTTAGCACCTCTCCACCCCTCCTGTTGGTCATTCTGAAATGTCCGACTCCACAGTGTAGGCAGGCTCTTTGCAGGAACGCAGTCCAGCCAGTAGCCAGAACAATTGTCTCCGAATGAAAGGGTTGCCACTCCTCTCTCCTGTAAGCAGTTCTGTTGACCACCTCTGCTCACCCCGGGAAGGCCTCAAAGCTGGTTGTCAAGACAACCCACCCATTTTGTTCCTATGCTGTTAGGACTGAGAAAACAGCCATTTCCTATCCCAAGGATCATAGGATTAAAGAATAAAAAATGGCACAATGTGAAATACGTGGGAACTGTGCATGCCGGGCAGGGCTGATGGCGCAGTTGGTTAAGCAGACGGCTGTGAACTGAGAGGTGTGTGGTTTGAGCCCACCAATCATTCAGCAGGAGAAAGCCAAGGTGAGCTGTCAAGGTTTACAGCCTCGGAAAACCACATGTTGTCTGTGAGTATTTTGGCGGTGTATGCTCTTGGGAAGGATCCCTGGTGGTTAGGCACTCGGCTGCTAGCTGGAAGGTCAGTGGTTTGAACCCATCAGCCCCTCCTGGTGATTCCTGCCATGCTGCATGGAGTCAAGTCAGACTCATCCGTGACCCTGTAGGACACAGTGGAACTGCCGCTGTGGGTTTTCCTGACTGTCACTCTTTATGGGCATAGAAAACCTCCCCTTTTTTCCTCAGAGCAGCTGGTGGACTCCAGCTGTTGACCTTGAGGTTGACTGCCAACCGTAGCCATTACACCACCAGGGCTCTGGTCGCATAAGGATTACAGCCTGGGGAACCCTACAGGGCTACTGAAGTCAGAATTAACTGGACCTCACTGAAGGCACGAATATATTTAGGAAGGTCCCTGCGTAGCAGAGTTTGCACTTGACAGTTTACCTCGACCCAGCAGCACCACTGCAGAAGACCCCCGACGAGGCGCTGTTCCATGGGGGTCACCATAACCAGAATTGACTTGACAGCACTGCGTTTGTTGGTGATTTTTGCTCCGCACTTTGGCCTCTTGAGTAATGCACGGCAGGCTGAGAACAAATACCTTCCAGACTCTGTTCCTTAAAACTACGCATTGCCCACAAGTCATTCCTACTCATGAGACGACGTCTTGTGCTTTCGGTCCATTCTTACAATCTCTCTGAACTTCAAGCCATCTCATCCCAGATACCGTCCAATCACTATAGAAAGTAGCCAGGAGGATGGGAGCGGTTCATAAATGTCCGGGGCTGCGTGTCCAGTCTGGCAGCACTTCCATTCTATCTACCCACTAGCGAGTGTCCGTGATTCCCAGCTGTCGAGACCCCCAGCTCGGCAGGCTGGTGCTGAACTGCGGGCGCCCAGCGCACTTTGCTCCCCGAGTGAAAGTGCTGCCTGACCCTCGCGCCTCCTTTCTGTTCCACCGCAGCTTCTTGTCGAGACTCCATTCAGAGAGTCAAAGTGCATGCAGAGCTGAAGCTAACGGTTTGTGGTTCTTGTCTTTAAAATGCAGAAGCTGTGGAAACACATCAAGCACAAGTACCAGCAACAGGATTAGCCGCTCAGGGCCCCCCACCCAGGCGAGAAGGACCAGACCCACCCATTGGCGGTTTGCCCAAGCCCAGGGGGCTTCCGCTTGAAGATGACGCTCAGATTGCACCGCTCCTCGGGCCACCTTGACCTGCTGGCAAGAAATGACTTCGCCTGATGAACTCTCACTTCTGCTGTGTCTGAGGGATGTTTAAGTCCGCGTCATCAGAAAATAAATGTAACTTGTCCTTGGCATCTGCAGCTGCATTGGGCGCCTTCTTAACCCCCAGATCCTCCCTTGGTGGTAATTGGAGAGCCTGCCACTGCCCTCTTCAAATAGCTGAAGGGCACTGGCCGCTATTTTGGGTCTCTGGGTAACCTCCCAAGAATTCTGCTTTTCAACATAATGCCCCAATGTTGGAGGTGTAGCCTTCAATTTTGGCATCTGAACCTATAATTCTGTACTTAAATTACACACTGGAGTGCTAACTGACCTGGCCAGGGAGTGGCGCTGTAGCCCAGGCTGGGAAAGCATCACAACCTTAGGCACTGTGGGCCATGGCCCACTCATTCTGCCTTTACCTTGCTGAGTGTCTATGGGCTAACCGCTATACTCTGTGGTTTGGCCCATCCTAAAGTTAAAGACTAGAACTCTCGAGGCCTCTAGAACTGGTATCAGACGCATTGTTTATCATGGTACTTCTTGGGTGGGCTTGCATGCTCCACCTAGTGTGGCTGTGTGAACCATGGGTGGAGCCCTCAACCTTGCTGAGTTTCAGTTTTCTGATCTGAGGAATGGGAAGAGTGGAAGAGTTTACTGCCTGGGGTTTGGTGAGGCAGCACCATCAAGGTCACAGAAATGCAGAAGGAGCCAGAGAACCAGAAGGTGTACGGGAAGGCCTGAATCAGTGAGGAGGTGGGGCTTGAGGAACAGACTGATCATTCGACAAACATTTCGTGGGCCACTGCGGCTGAGGCTCTGCTAGGAACTGGGCATGCCTTGAGGAATGAGCATGGGAGGTTCAATTCCCAGAGGGCGAGGCCATGCAAAAGTGGCATCCTATATGATTACAGACCCGGCCGAGGGCTCTGGGGAAGCTGGGCAAGGAGAGGGTATAAGGAGGACAGGGAAGCAGCTCTCGACCTGAGAATACAAAGATGGGTGCTGTGTGGCTGGAGGCTGAGCCGAGAGGAGCAGGTGTGAAGGCCCAGAAGTGGGGGAGGCACCTGTATCCGAGGCACTAAAAGCCCCCTGTGGCTAAGGACGAGCTCTGGTGGCAGTGGGTGACATGCTGCAAGGTCAGCAGTTGGAAACCACCAGCCCTTCTGGGGGAGAAAGACGAGGCTTCCCGCTCCCGTGAAGATGGACAGTCTGGGAACCCCACAGAGACAGACGCTGTCCTATAGACAGTCCGGTTCGAATAGATGGCAGTGAGTTCGGTTTGGGATTTTGTGGCAAAGGGCCGTTGAAGGTAGCAAGTAAATAGGTCAGTTCATTCAGAGCCTAGCAAACCACGATTGATTTGCCGAGAATTACAGTGAGGAACTGCTGAAATTTCCAAGCAAAGGAGTCATTCCTTCAGACTCAGAAAATCACACAGTGGTAGGGAGGTTAGATGGGAAACCCCAGACAGCTGGGCACCCCCGTGAGCCTGGCTGGGAGTGGCCCAGGAGAGCAGTGGGAGGTGCTGAGCTGCTGGGAAATGGTCCCAGGGAAGCCTGGCCAGGGAAGGCTGTGACTCACCTGCCTGCTGCCTGTTTGCGTGCAACCTGGTGCTTCGCAGGGCCCAGCAGAGCACCTGAGAGGGGAAGAGTCCGGTCAGGAAACATGTGGCTTGCCTCACCTGAAGCACATCTTCACGAGGAGAGGAAGTTGTGACCCAGAGAGAAAACGATGTGCCCTAGGTGGTACAGCTGGGTGGCCACAGACTAAAGATGAAAGAATGGTTCCACTTTTAAGTAGAGGCTCACCCAGCAGGCTGAAGATTGCCACTTATATAACACTTTCCCAGTGATTTCAGGGCTGTGTGCTCGTGAAAATAAAGTAGGCAACAGTCTCCAAGCTGCGTTCTTGCCATTACTCTGGGGTTTTTTTAAGGGGGAACTGATCACAATGATCCACTCTCTGGTTTTATGGTGTCCGATGGCAAACTGAGGGCAGCCTGGTCAGAGGATATTTATTTGATTGCTCGCCTCGGACGGGGCACCTTCCCCTCTCCACCAACCAGCAGGGATGTCCACGAGCCAGCCTATAAGGTGCACTATGATTTATTTGCCTTGTGTGTTTTGGGGGGGATGTTTTTGTTGTCCTTTGAATCAGAGTCCAACATTAAAATAATCATCTGGGGACATTCAGCTGCCTGTTTCGGGCTATGGTGGCCCCATTTATCGGTAACCTGGTGAACAAGGCTCTGGCCATGGCAAACACTATTATGACTTGTTCATAGCCACAGTGGGCCACCTTTTGGCACTATGCCAAGGTGGAGCTGGTGCCTCGAACTCCTGCTGAGATCCTGACAGCTATTCAGAGCCTGAAAGCAATAGTCCGTAGTGCTCAGACTGGCTTCAAACAGCTCGTACACCAGCTCATACATTGCAGGTGGGAGGGTGAAGTGGTATTATCTCATCTGTCCTGAGGATGCATTGTGCGATGCAGTAAGAAGCTTATTGTGCATGCCTTTGACCAAAAAAAGGAAAGAAAAACGATTCCTCTTCTGACAAAATGTCCTTTTGTAGAATAGGGGGAGCAGGGCATTTCCACAAGAGGTATTCAGCACAAGTTGTTTATAATGGGGAAATGGAGACAAGTCAAACATCCAGAATTAGAGTTGTCTGCCCATAGTCATTGAAAACAATGCTTTAAGAGTGAATAGCCAACTGGTAGGGTAAATGACCTGAATGGGTGGGTAAGACCAGAAGGGCAAATGGCCATAGGTATGGCAAAAACGCCCACCTTCACTAGCAAAGAAATGCAAACAGCAGAGTGCGTTAATCTGCCCATCAGATTAACAAAAAGGAGAAAGATAAGCGGTGCTTGGTTCTGAACAAACAGCTGGCACTGCCCATGAGCATAGGAGCCGTGGTTTGAGCGGGCACCCTGGCTCTTTATCTCAGGAGTCCTAGTGGCGTCCACTAAGTATTGGACAGCTAACCTCAAAACCAGCGTTCCAACCCACTAGCTCCTCTATGGGAAGATGAGGCTGCTGGCTCCATACAGATGTGCAGAGGCTCGGGAACCCTGTGTAGGATCGCTTTAAGGCAGCATGGCCTGAGGACAGTGGGTCTGGTTTGGGGTTGGCAATACCTGTTTTAAATGTGTATTCCTTTTGGTCTTGAACATGTACCTTTAGCAAACGATCCCTAGAACACGCAAGTGAGCGGGTACACATAGAATCTTGAGTATTTGGTAGAAGAAGGAAAATGCTTCTCAACTCAATGAGTAGCCTCATACAGCAGCTCTGTGTATAGACAAAAGACGGAGGTGGTTACATGTGCAGGGATAAAGGCGGTGCCTTCTTCCACTGGTGACTCCCTGGGGGCAGAGAACTACACAGGGTTCTCACGGTGATGTCAGAAGCCCATCACCAGCCTTCTCTCCCAAGTGCTTCTGGGTGGCATGGAACCACCAACCTTCCTGTTCGTAATCAAGTGCTTACCTGAATGTGCTGCTGCCCAGGAACTCCTGGAAAGTACCGAAACTCCTCTGTGGCTATTTGTGGTTTGCTTTTATTTAGGTGCTTGTTCTTGTTTTTTTTGGGTTTTTTTTTCTTTCATTAAATCCTTTTATTGTGGTCTCGTACAACTCTTATCACAATCCATTCATTCATCCAGTGTGTCAAGCACATTTGTTCATATGTTGCCATCATCATTTTCTGAGGCGGTAAATCTTTATGGGAACCGAAAGCCTTCTCTTACTCCCTCGCTAGCACCTGGCGGTTTCGAACTACTGACCTTGCAGTTAGCAGCCTCCTCTTACTCCCTTGCCAGCACCTGGTGGTTTCGAACTACTGACCTTGCAGTTAGCAGCCCAACTCGTATAACCACTACACCACTTGGGCTCTCATGCATATATGCGCGCTACACAGTTCCCATTACTGTCTCATCGTGTGTGTGTGTGTGTGTGTGTGTGTGTGTGTGTGTGTGTGTGTAGGGGGGGAGGTAGAGGGATTGCGAAAGGACTTTCATTTTGTGAGATAAATCCCTATTTTATTCTTTTCCCTACAACTAGCAGATGTGAATCGTGTAAGAAAAATATTTTCTAAAACAATTAAAAGGAGAAGGATGTCCACATGAGAAAGGAGCCCCCATAGGAAGCTGAGAGGTCCCCAAGTTATGTGGCATCTTCACTGTAGACCACAATATGTCATTCTATAAGCTCGTCTAAGAAATAAACAAATTGAGAGGCTCACCCCAGGCTATAAAGAGGGGAGCATCTTGGTAAGTGAGCTTTTCGGTTGTACTTTTCTCAGAGTCCCAAGTTTCCTGCATCATGCGTGTATCGTTCTCAGAATGAGAGGCACAAAGAAATCTAAATGGGACGGCCCTGCAGAGAGTGAGCACAGTGGGGGAATAACATGAGCCCCAACCTTGACTCCCTGCCTCCCCAAGGTCTTGTGGAGGAGGAGCAGGAGGAGGAGGAAGAGGACATCTCCTTGGTCGTCATTGCCACATGAGAGCTGGTCTTCCCCCGTCCTTCTGAGGGTCTGCCATGCAGGTAGGGAAGCGAGGGTTAGCAAAGTCCTTCCCCTGGCACTGAGGAAGTGCGCAGTATAATGCTCCTCCCTTGGAAGCGCAGCCTCAGGCATCTCCTGGAGTCTACACCTGGGGCGGTCTTAGAAAGCCCTGGGAAATGTCCCACCTGTTTCCTAGCACAGGTGTCAGAAGCAGCTCCACGCTGGGGTACCCCCGTAAAGTAGCGAAAGCGCTCTGACACCGCTTTGATCTTCTGAGAAGCTGGTGTCTGGCAACTCTCTGATCTCTCACCAGGTCAGATCTCCTAAC